TCGGGGTGCGACCAGAGTCACGGAACGAATTAAGTTCGTAAACCGAGGTTCCACTGTATAAACTTGAAATGAGATTGAGACCAGAGACATTGACTTTGAACTCTAGTGTGTTGGTTTGCCTTTCGCTTTGTTATTTAAATTTTTACTGCTATACCAAACTTTTTCTCTAATGTCCCAATCAGTTTGCAAGAGAATGCTAAAATAGTCTTAAATGAAGCCATCACAATAAAACAAATGACACTTAAAAACAACAAATACTAACATTGAAACAAAGTTCATTGTGGAAAAAAAAACACAAGCAAAATACTATTGTTGAAAAAATGCAAAAGTTATGTTTGAAAGATATACTTGAAAACAGTTAGCAAAAGGTCATGCTTGTCTGGTTGTACCAAAACTAATAAAGATTTATTTTCCAGTCTGATACAGTTATTTTGTCCCACATTTAGGGACAAGAAGCTAGTTCATCTGTTATTCATGGTGAAATTAACTCTGATCCCCCAAAGTTAGCGCATTTCCACAGATTTATCACCTGGTTTGCTAAAACAAGTAATAGATAATGATAATTTATTAGTAATATATTAAACTTGTATGCCGCCTGACTCTCCCTCTCCTCTCTCTCTCTCTCTCTCTCTCTCTCTCTCTATATATATATATATATATATAATTTATTTAAGACCTTTTTCCACAGAGTAAAAGCAATACAAATCTTAAGTTAAAGTTAAGAGAAATAGAGGAAAGCAATAGAAAAGTGAAAAAGAAATAAAGAAGGAAAAAGATAAAGAAAGAATAATAAAGAAGTGACTTCCGATCCTCTTAACATCCTTTTAAATTTTGGATATATGATGTGTTTTAGATATATTTATAGTTTTAATGTTTCCTGTAAGTCGCCCAGAGTCCCCCATTGTGGGGGAGATGGGCGGGGGAGAAATCCAATAAATAATAAAATAATAATAATAACTCTGGGTGGCTCTCAACAGTCAAATTACAATAAAATCAATAAAAGATGAAAGAAGATTGAGATAAAGATAGATACAGATGATATACATTTCTTCTCTTTTATGTATTTGCTAGAAGTAAAAGCCAGATGTTCTTTAGTGGTGCAAAAAGGAATTCCAAACCCATAGGAGAGTTGGTCTAAAACTCCAGCAGGGAAGTTTGGAAGGTCAATTGGGCAATAGCTCAGCTGCCTTCTCCTTTGTCACAAACGTGTCATCCTTATTTATCTGTAATAACGTGTCAGATACTTCCATGACAATGATAAACTTCTCTAGCAAACTTCAAGGATCTTTGTGCAGCAGTAGCAATAAGAGGGTTGCACGTACTAGAAATTTGCTTTAATGCTGTGTCATTGTGTAAACTAGTCTATCCTTGATTTTAACTACCTTTAGACCCACCCATATCTGCTCTCATCTATTGGCTAATTTTGAACTGTCCTGTTGGTTTTGCTTGTCTTGTCAGGATAAAGAACCCTTACGGTCAATCTTCCTGAAGGACGTGCTGAAGACTCATGAATGTCTCGTCAAATCTGGGTATGAGTATCTTCTGTGTTTGGACATTTTCTCTTTGGTATTGGCCTTTATTCTACCAAACTGCTTGTGTGAAGGATCAGTATTTAAAGGCAGGTGATGTTCTGCCTTGATTTGTTTGCATTCCATCATCTCAGGTAGAGCAACAATGATACCACCTCATTTCACTGGGACAAAAATGGTACCCAAATTATGTTGCTGAAATCAGAGATGCCATTCTGCAAAATAGTTTTGGGGACAAGGTGGGATTTTTCAATAGTTTAAGGAAGGGCGCGAAAAAAGACGCTTCCCTGTGGTGGCCAAGAAAATGGCAGAGAGATGGTGTCACCAGCAGTCAAGCTTGACTTGAGGGAGATCTTACCTTTCAGGCTGTGAGAGATACATGTGCTTTATCCCCGTGAATTTTTTTCTGACACAGAGGTGATGCAGTTTGCCACATCAAGGCATTTCATGTTACTTCTGAGGCTTCTTCAGCTGAAGTCATCCCAGTGAAAGCCTCAGAAAGAACACCAAGCAAAGCCACTGTTTCAAATATCAGTTAATATTAACATTTGATTAATTCTTTAGAGGAATTGGCATTAAGAAGCAATGCTCTTGGTATCTGCAGTTAAGTTCCACGTTAATACCTCTTTCTGTTTTTCAAGTGATCTTCTAATGCGGGATAATCTCTTTGAAATTATAACAAGCTACCGGACCTTCTATATCCAGGTAAAATACATATATTGATATATCAAACATGGCCCTGCAAATTTCCACTGTTTGGAAGTTGTTTAAGTCTTCTTCCAAGGAGTTTGGTAAATTGTGACATCTCTAGATGTTGTTGAACGACAACTTTCAGCAGCCCTAAACCAGTATGGCCAATGATGATGGATGTTGGGATTTGTAGTTCAACAATTAAGGAAGGGCTACACATTTCCTCTTCCTGATCTGAGACTTGTGATCATTCAAATATATTTGACCATGCATGATTTCCTGTATGGAAATCTGGAGACAGGCAAAGCAATTGAGACTGGAAGAATTATAGCGTCCTCTCAGCTCTTGTTTCTGATTTGTTTCTCTCTGCTTGAATTAGCTGATCTTTGTGGTCCCCTCTAATATCAGAATCCTATGAGGTTATGCTTTTTTTTTTCTTAGAAACTTCAGTAATTGTCCCTAGCCATGAGCTTTATGACTATTTTCTTCCTGGTTTTCCATGAGACCTGATAGAATTGTCAATAACTGCACTTTATTCCAACAACATTTTCTATATTCCCATTTGATTGGCATGTTCAGGTACATAAAGGGAAGCTACAGGGAAGATGATCAAGAACTATTTTCCATGGCTGTAAAAACTAGGACCAAAAATAATGATTATAACTTATACTGCCTAATTAAAAAAAATAAGGAAAAACTTATTGACAGTAATATCTGTACAACAGGGGAACAGTCTACTTATGGACATAGAGTTCTCCATCACTGAGGCTTGTGAGAAGAAGCTGGGCAGTCCTCTCTCATGGGTGATTTAAATGCAGAGGATTGAACTAGAAGATCCTTGTGGTTCCTTCCAACTCTATAATTTTATGACTCTTCTTCAGGATGGTTGAAAATCAAACAACAATAAAAACAAAAACAGATATTCACAAACAGTACACCAAAATCCACTAGATAACTAATTACAAGGTTGCCCTCTCACTGTTAGAGCCCAAGGGCCCTGCAGAATCACCAGGTCTTCTCTTCCTGAACAGCAGGAAATTGAAGGCATTCAACACTCAGGAGGCAAGATGTTCTAAATGTGGGGCAGCTGCCAAGAAGGGGTGACCCTGGGCTTTCACCCCCGTTTCCAGTGATTGGAGTCTGGTTTGCATATGGCTTCACTTCACAGCAGCCAGGATGCTGTGAATTCTGGAAGATCAATCATAGAACTTCCTAGCAGGCTTATCTTGTTGAACATTTCAGACTTTCTGAAAGTCACCTGGTTTCTCAGAAAGCTGGTAAATCTTAGTGTGTTTAAAAATGGATTCCCAGTGGAGACAGCACTGTTTTTTAATTTAGTTTGCTAAGCAATCGATTTAGCTTTTGACAGTTGAAGTCTGTCTTCCCCTGCCAAACAGGATGCTTTGTTGACAGGCTGTCAAGCAGAAAGGGTGAATGAGGTGAGACTTAGTACACAGTCCATTTTAGCCTAGGGAGACATGAAGTGTGAGGATCCCGCTATGGCCACAATTTCACTTCTCCATTTCATCATATTCATAATGAAAGTTATTTGTACAGGTGCAAAAGAGAACCATAAAAATGGGAATCTCTGTAAGATTGCAGTAAGAGAGCTTTCCTCAGATAAGGAATAGGGCTGCTTTCAGGTGTGTTGGGACAACATCTGGAAAGCATCAGATGTTGGGAAGCTAAGTTACAGCTGTGTACAACTGGGAGAATGCATTTTAAGGACACTAGAAGTTTTCTTAAAAATGAATGTAAACTTCTCCAGATAATTGCGTGGGGTGTTTGTCTATAAGAATTCTGTTGAGATGCCACATCTTCCTATCAAGACTATCTTGGACTTTTTTTGAGTACCATTACCTGAAATTAGTTAATTACATTTTAAAACTATGCAGGCTAATTGTTTGAGGTTTGGATCTTAACCAAGAGCATACCCTCCCAACATTGCCCAGATAAAAGAGAAAATAACTGTGGGTGTCCTTGTTTCAATCAATGACTGTCCAAGATCTGTGACAGCTGAAATCATCTTTTGAAGTTTGGGGCAGCACAGGAACAATTCATCAGGCACCCTCTAAATGGGGAAACACAGTGCAACAGGGTTTGTTTTGGATTAATTGGAGCTAACTCACTCCTGTCTCCCTAGGACATTTTTGGAATGTTGGCAATATTTTGCAGCCATACTCACAAAAACCCTGGTGGGAAGAGGGGGTTTACATATTTGCACGATGTCTGTCATGGGAAACATAACTAAGTTATAACGCACCAATTAACCAGACTGCTGTCCCTCTGGCCCCCTCCCCTCCCATCTACCTCTCTGTACCTTTGGGGTGATGAGCACATTCCCAACCTTCAACCTTTCATTATTATTTTCTAAGAAGGCTTCAGGGGCCTTTTGGAAACTGAGTTGATGACTGCGGCTAGCAGTGTGTTTTTCCACACATCAGTTTCTCTCTTTTAATTGGAAGAATGGCTTAGAAATGTAGGAAGTCAAGTGGGGCAGAGACAGAGTCAAGCATCGAGGGAGTTGTCCAGGAGCACCTTTGGTGCCCATGGGTGCTGTGTTGGGGACCCCAGCTTTGGGATATGTGGATTGCTTGTAATCTTTGTGTGCAAAACTTGTAGCTTGAAGAAACACCAGGAAGCTTTACCTATTTTTCCTGATCAGCACAGAAAATGTCCTCATTGGCCATCTGGTTTCCCTTTCAGTGGTAGGAAATCCAGGTGGAGGTCAGCAACCTTCGGTCCCCTCTCCCTTGCCGTGACCTAGCTCAGATTCTGTGGAGGGAGAACTTGGTGTGCAGGACAGAAATAGGTGTGTGGGGGAATTGGTGTACCCATATGAATGTGAATCTGTATATGAATTATTTGGAAGGAAAGAAAAGGGTGAATGGAGTAGGCGTCGATGTTTTTAAGCATGATATTTGCAAAGCAGATTGCACCTGTCCAGGAGTTACGGTTGGTTGTGTTTTGTTTACTGGGTAAGCAACTGTGTGGAGAGCATTTGTGCACGAAAGCGTGACTCCCATCAGTTTGAGGAAGGCCATGGTTCTGCAAGAGTGTGGATTTCAAATGGTATATATTCCTGTGTTCTCCAGCTACAAGAGCCTTGAATGCTTTTAGATTAAAGTATTAGATAATGGAGACCCCACCTGACCTGCTCTCTGGACATAAGGTTCCCTCAGCTGAGAAGCAAAGGATCTTACCTCCAGCTTGCCAGACTCACCTGGTGGTGCAGGTCTTTTAAGACAGGGATGGGCAAGCTGCAGTCTGCATATGGCTCTCCTTTTGCAGGGTCCCCATAATTAGTTAAGCAAGCGACATATCCATTTCCAGTCTTAAACTGTCCCCGGAACCTTCCAAAACACAGAAAATTGAGATGAAAATGGTAGCTTCTCCCCTACAGTAGAAGGTCTCTGGAGCCAGAGGGCTGTAGCCCAACAAATCAATTGCAGCCCCCAGGCCAAAAAAGGTTGCCTGTTGCTGATCTAGTTCAATCCTATTTCTGCTGGTTGCAGGCATTGCCTAAATCTTTAACCTGAGTACAGAATTCTCAGCCAGTGTGGTTAATGGGAGTTCCTACACATCTGGAGGACAACAGCTGGGGAAGGAAGGGTCAGAGCAGCAAAATGTTTCTTTTCCCTGAATATTTTTAGTTGTGATCCTTCTGTTTTTTTTCCTTTTTTCTTTGCTTGTTTTTCTTTTCCAGTTGTGTGTGTATATATATATTTATTTATTTATTTTCTGGGTACAAAGGCTATCAATTTAAATCCAAATAGCCAGCTAATAGCCACCCATGGGGATTTCTGCTGACCTTGCATGGCTTATAGTATTAGTACTGTAGTAATGGTCCGGTTAATTTTCATTTAGTGTGTGCTTACAACTAAGTGCAGTATCTGTAAATCAATACAATACAATACAATATCAACCACTACCTAAATAAAACAGTAATCAAAACAAGACATTTCCTAATGTTAGCACAACTGTAACATAGCTCTGCATCAAGCGATTACAACAAAGGCTCTATGGGCTTCATAAAGGACTTGCAAAAGAAATATTTTAAGGGCTGTTTAAAACTTCCAGATACCGCCCTCCAGATATTAATCAAGAGAGAGTTCATCCAGAAGGCAGAATGAGAGCTTTCATTTGTGGACGATCAGACTAAGCACTTTCTCCACTTAAGAAAACCGTATTTATCAGAACCTAGCAAGATCTGCATTTTTGCTAAGCGGGACTTTTGCTTGAGTCAAACAAATTGAAACGAAGGCATCAACATTGAGTTCCACATCTCATATCTGCCCTCTGGTGGATGTTTTCACAGTGGCCGTGTTGCCGGAACTCAAGTAGGACACCCACAGTTTAGGAGAAAGTTTAGAAAGGGCCTTTCCCCAGTTCTACCCATCTTTTAGGTTCCTTAAGAGATGCGACATCTCTTTTAGAGCAGAACTTGAACAGAAGCCAGCAATTCAATTTTGTAAGAAATTACACCTGAACCGTGGAATGAAGATTTGGAATATCCAGGGTTGGAGAATGAATGGGCCCAGTGTAAATGAATGTGAAATATACTTCTTCTGATTTAAAAGTGAAATTAATTCATCAGAAAATATTATTTTGGGCTTTACTGGACCTCTCAAATAATGTTTTAAAAGGCGTGGCTGTTGGATTTCTATATGTTGGCACTGTAAAAAAATGGTTGTGGTGGTCCTGTTATGTCATGCTGTGAAAGAGAGATGATGTGGAAATGGGTGAATAGGGAGGTAATAAAATCAGGTCAAGGCCCATCTTAGACCAGCATTTTGTTTCTTCCAGTGGGCATCCCGATGCCTCTGGCCATCTTGCAAGTAGGAGGTCGATTCCTACCCTCCCCTGCCATTGTCCTCTGGAGAAGTCTACCCAGAGAAGGCTAAATGTCATGGATGTGTTTAGTCTTGGGTTGCAACGGCTAGTATTCCTAAGTGTCTGTTGAGAGTCTTGCAAATGTTGGAGTCTGGAAGGAAGAGAATTTGAGGGTGGATGCGTCCTCTCTTTCTAAAGAAAGATGGAGTTGAAACTCAGCAGTTCCTACAGAGCAGAGGAGAACTTAAAGACTAAGAAGAAACTTGGGATTCATGCCCAGGTTAAAAGGATTCAGAAGAAGAGACCAGATTGAATCCACTCATCTTCCTTCTGAAGTTTTGTACCTGGTGGGACATCACAGGCCATTTTTGAAAATAACCGTATTTATTTTACGGGTGTTTGTCCCACCCACAAGTGGCCACTTGACGATTATAGACTCTAAAAAGGATATTTATTACACACTGTACTAAATTACTGGGGATTATGCTTTTTCCCCGAAGTATTTCAATGTATTTGAAAGTATTTGAAAGAAAGAATGGGGGATGGAGATTGTTCATCTTCCCCTTGTGAACAGAGCAAGGAGGAATGACTTAACAAAGATCAGCTTTCCTGAACTTTTCTGAAGATCCTCTTCAGAAACCTTGTTCCAGTTGTCTCTGAACAATGACATGAGGCAGGTAACTCCCAGAGAGGCTCTTTTTGCTGGTTGCATCCTAGTTAGTCTTTGTAACAACTTTTTCAGACAGACTTACCTTTTGCTTTTCCTGTCATCCTTTCAGCACCAGATTAAAGACCTTTCTGGGTTCTAATGGAAGAGAATATATGTAGCTCAGGGTTGCATTGTGGAGTCCTTGGGGCTCTCTGAGCTTGGTTGTTTTCTTGCAGACGTTTCATTACTTGGCTAGGTACCATCTTCCCGTATATTCATATACCTGTAAATCTGCACTTCTTGAATTTCTGATTTTGTGCCACTAAAGACAGTGAATGAGCATGAAACTGAGCCAACTCAGGGAGGCAGTGAAGGACAGGAAGGCCTGGTGCAATATGGTTCACGAAGAGTCGGACACGACTGAACAACAACAAAAAGACAGTGAACCTTGACTGAGAAACAAATGGAAAGTGTATAGGTCCGAAACAGAGGGCAGAACCTGGAGGCAGGGTGTTCTTAGGATCTATTCCTGCATTTTCATTACAAAGGATCCAGTAGAAGTGACTTGAAAGGCCTCTTCTAGAAATTTTGTGGACCTGCTGCACTTGGAAGTAACATGTCCATTGTTGAGTGGGATCTTGTTCAGCTGTTGGTTGACCAAGTGTATATATGCTGTCACTTCTTTGACCCCAGAACAGCCGGGTGAGCCCTAACGGCATGGGGAAGGTTATGTTCTGGAACTCAACTCGGTCCTTTTTAAATAACTCTTGTCTGGGCCTTCCCAATTTTATACTTATGATTTATTGTATTTCTGTATTTGAGTAAAGGTAGGGTGAAGCATCCTCGTTTAAAATAGGCACAAGTACACCACGAATAGTGAATCAACAAGGCATGAGCTTTATTGGGATGAATCAAGTTTGTTCAGCCTATTCACCCTCCCCCAGGGTGAGGCGCAATAGGGTTCAAGGAGGGCCACCAGACCCTGGCCTGCAAAATCAGTACAACTGCTAGGTGGCAGCAAAGGGGCACAGAAAACACCCATTCTTTGCTGCCATCTAGCGCCCATGTGGAATTTTGTAGTCCAGATCTCAAGACCACAAGGCTACATGATTTGGAATCAGAGTCGTCAGAATTTGGGGGGACGTGATCAGCTGAATCTTTCACTGCACCTTTGCCTTGTCTGTTCACAGAATTTAACGGGAGTCTGGAAAATATTGTCTTCTATATATTGTTTTGAGTGTTTCTCCCATCATTTAAGTTGGCAGGAAAGGGAAATCCGATAAGGAGGGAAAGGCAAAATTGCTTCCCACGGCCAGCGCTAGAAGCTGCGTCCCTGAAATCATCCACGTAGTGCAAAACCAAATATTTTGTATGTACTGTGCTCCGTGTGGTATCTCTGCCTGGAAGAAGCATCGGTCGTCCAGCAAAGGTGTCCATGAATTGAACTTCACAGTGCTCTGGGTGGTGTTTAACTTCTTCTTTTCTGATAGGCCTACAGCCCTGAAGACATGAAAAGCTGGATCAGAGAGATCTCAGGGGCAGTGCAGGCATTAAAGAGCTGCCCCAGGGTAGGTCATATTCTTTCCACTTTGACTCACCTCAGTTAACGTTTCCGTTTTTGGAGTAGAGGTTATCTGTTTTCATAATTTCAAGCACAACATTTGAAAAAATGCTCATGTCCAGAAGATTTCTCTCCAGCCATCTGAAGAGAAATTATTTAAAGCAAATAAATGCGTACCTCTAATACAAGGTCAGAAATGGGCTGCAGGGAAGAGCAGGGAATACTAGAGGTGTGGGGTGATTTGGGGCCATTAAACTATCTGCAGCTTTGGGCCATTATCATGAGAAACTTGGCAGACTTTAGAGTTAGGTAGCTTTTTCTCAAACAATCCAGGCTCCAGAAATCTTTTCACTCTCTTTCTCCATCCCCCAAATCCAATCTTTGGAGCCAACTTGTTTGTTTGCTTGAATAAAGTACAACTCAGCAGCCCCAGCCCCATGGTCAAGGATGAGGGAGTTGTAGTACATCGACTCTGGGAAGGCCCAAGTTTTCCCCACTGTGCCATGTCTCCTTACAATCCAGCAAGCATTTCTTTGAATGGTCACTGAGCAAATGGACGTAACCCAAGGACTACCTGCATTGATCAGAGCTGCGACTGATGATCTTGTTTTGCCTTGCAGGAAATGTCTTTGGTGAGATCAGTCTCAATGGATAAACAAGGAAGTCCCACCTCGTCCAGCTCCACCACGTCATCCATTGCATGGCTAAAGCAGCGAGGAGAGGAGTCCAGGGTTGGTAACAAAGGTCCCGCCACTTCTTGCTGGCTGCCGTGGATGCCTGTGCCACAGCTGGAAGAGAAGCACCAGCCGGTATCAAAAGGGAAGGCTGACCAGCTGAGCAACTCTGAGTTTACCCCTTTGTTTGCTGGAGATGCTGGAGACACCCAGGTCAGGCGTCTCCGGCACAGGTCAGAACCCCAGAACTTCAAAGAGCACCGCTTTCTGATTGATTTGGATGATGAAAACATCCGAACCTCAGATGTGTGACTGCGCAGCGAGGTGGAAGTTGCCAGGAAACAGGCAATCTAAGGGTGGGATGTTCTAGATGAACACTAGCTAGCTTGCACCTACTCCAGATGCTGAGATGGAATAGATTTGTTTGCAGTGCAACCAACTTAAAGCTGAGAAGGACCTACGCTTATGTGGGGACTGCGTGCCCTGCCGGAGCCTTCTCAAGACCAAGCATAATTCAGAGGGCGCCAGAACGTTCAAGATGGTCCTGTTTCAGGTCTGTTGAGGATGCAGAAGTATGCAATGGAGGCCACCCCATTCTCCATGAGACGCTGTTCATTCCACTATCATTGCTTCCTGTCTAGTGAAGGGAAGGCCATATCGTTCATTTGGAGGCCTTGATAAACATGATGCTTTCCTGTCTGTGTGCTTGTGCAAAAAGGCTTTTCTATATGAGAGTTAGCTGGACCATACAGCAACAAAGTATATGTACCCTTCCTGTTCCGGTAGCAACCACAGTGTGGTTTTGCTTGATCAGTGGATGAGTTGAAGGCAGCTCATCCTGCGTTTATGTCCAAAGCTTAAACTATGACTTGGAAGAGAGCTTGGAATACTGTTCAAGAATACTGTGCCGAACAAAAAAAAAAAAATCTACATTTTTCCCCATTCAGTCTGATGTAAGTTGGGGAAGCTTTTCTCCCTCCCTCTCTTCCTTCTTAGAAAATCTAAAGGGTGAAATTCTCGGAAGAGAATATGAGGTTCTGGTACTTACCTGAGTTACGAGGTAGCCAAGATGTTGAGCCTTTCATAATACAATTGTTTCTAGCAGGGATAACAAATTCAGTCCGTTGGCTACCAAAGAGCAGTATGGTAGGGTGAAAAATATCACCCAACCCATTCTAAGAAAATTCAAAAGCAGGCTGGTTATGAGGTATACATAAAATCCACATAGAAGAAAGGAATTTTTAAGAAACTGGAGCAAGCATATCCTCATTGAAACAGCATCTTTTTCCATTCTTGTCTGGGGACTATGAGGCTGTGAAAACAAGTAATGGAGATACCAAAAGGCTTTTTCCATAGTGAATATCAAATGATAGTTGAGTATTGAGCAATGGGTTGTCTTAGGCTGGGCCAGATATTGACTCCGAGAGCTGAGTAATTGTTTTAATGACTGCTCAGGATTCACCAAGATGTCTAACTGGGGACTTGCACAGTAACCTTTGGATCCTGGGGACCTGGGGGGTGCAAGCAGGTGATATGCCCCGACCCTTTGATCTACTGTGATAAGTTGGAATGAATGTCTTGCAAGGAGCAGGAGGACATAGATCTCATTTAGCCTTTGCAAGACTGCTTCCTCTTCCTCCTTTGGACTGTTCAGGACAGCTGGGTTGGAGAGCAGAAGAAATTTAATTCAGAAGATGCTGGAGCTGCCAAGATGAGGAATACGTGGCTGTCACATAAAGAAGGAGAAATGATGATCAACAGAACAGCCCTGAAGAACAACCCTTCCAAAACAAAGCTCACTTCTTGCTTTGTTTTCATATTAGCCTTTCCCAGCATGGGGCTTTACAGGCTGGGGGTACCTGGAAGGTACTCAATTGGGGAAGGCTATGATCACGAAGATGGGTTCCTAGTCTGCACTAACTCAGCAGATAGAGGGGGCAGGACGCTCTGAATGGTGAGCGGAGGCAGGAGAAAGGCTAATTCCATTCCTCAACATTTCCTTGTATTAATGAGATTTCCAATGTAGTCATCTTCCTCAAGCTTGCTGTTCAGAGTGTAACTCTCCCCTTTAAATGAGGAGGACAGAACTTCAGGGATTTTGTGAGCACAGCAGATGCGGTACAGGTTTGCATCTCAAAATGCCCAGTGCTCATTCTGACTTCCATTAGTTGCCCAGAAGCATTCTTTGGAGCCGATGAGGAGGAACCACACTCCTGTTTTGAGCCATAGGCTTAAGGTTAAATCCTGTGTTCAACTGTGCAAAGACTACTCTCTTAGAAAATGTGTGAATGTCTGTGTTATCAAGATACTCAGGTGTGCATCCTTTGATACTTCAGTTAATTCAGGAACATAAAGAGGGTTGTTTTTTTTTTTAATGCAGTATGATCACTCGTAGGGAGCCTGCTGTGTATTCTGAGCTTGCTTCAGAGTCATGCTAAGCCCTAAGCCAGTGTTGTCCAAACTTGGCCACTTTAAGATGAGTGGACTTCAACTCCCAGAATT